CCCGATGCACAAAATACTCTTTCCGAGTTCACTGAGGAAGGTGGTGCGCAGAGATACTTTATTGCAAGTGTAAACAAATTTGGAAATTCTTTGCGGCTATACTTCCACCAAGTTAAGGGATCTTCTTGTCTGGATATAAGAGGTAGTTGCAAATATTTCTCTATTTCTAGTTCATAAATAGCTGCCTTTTTTCTTGTACGTTCGCTGCCTTGTCTACCAATCGTTTGGCTATCCATATCACTAGAAACACTAGAATCAGCATCAGAGCCGTTGGCGATTTCCTCAAAGCTGTATGTGCATGAGAAATTTTTAACAGTAAACTGCCGGCGTGCGTGGATATTAGGTTGGCCTGTAAGTTGAGTGTGACGTGTCCTTTCGTTTACACTTGCGAAAATAGTCGTGTTTTCTTTGGTTATCGAGAACAGTATCAGTAATTTTTTACTATTAGCACCAGGATTAAGAAGTTTTAGAAATTACCTCACGTAATGGGAAAAACTTATATTTAGACGAGATAATATTCATTTAAATAAATATTTAACATAAAGGCGATTTATTTGAAGCAAGTTAAATGAAACAATGGCAGAATGTCTGTTTGTCTATGAATTCATTTTTCACTGATACCAAACTGTGCGTCTAAATTATCAGTGAAACAAAACAAACAGAACGGATAATAAATTGAGCCAGATCTCCATCAGGATCATATCATTGTTGTTGAATTTGCGTGCAAAATTTTTATACGGATTCCGATCTTTGCCCAAGAAAACACAGCTTGAGTTGCGACAGAGTTGCATTGGCCTCAGTTTATCAGGTTTATTCAGTGAAATCGCTGGATAAATTTATCAGAAATGGGTAAACGAGTTTCCATACAAATTTTGACAGTTCATTTATAAAGTTTACACAATTATAAGTTTATACGGTTTACATTGCATTTATAAGCTTTGATGAATACCCTTAGTAGTTTTGACTTTCATCAAACTTGATAATCGTTTGACCTGTGCTGTAGACCGTGTAAAGTGCTGTTTGATCAAATTGATTAACAAAGTGAAAGAACAAGTGCCCGATAATTTAAATAAAAAGAAGAAATGAGCAAGAAAAGAAAATAATTCGACTTCATTTTAGAACTAATAAATTGTTTCAAAAATCTCCAAAACATTTTTTGTGGTGATACAACTTCACCAAAAACTGAAATTTTATGGGTTTTTTGACGTGTGTAAGTCAAACCATCTAATTACACAGACATATCTGTGCACAATAATTTAAATAAAAACACATAATTGAAAAAGGAAAAGGTATACGACTTAGTATTAGTATTAACAAATGAATACAAAGCTTTCTTAAGCTTCTCTTCAACCTCATCCAAAACGAAAAACTGAAATTTGATGGGTTTTTTGAAGCGTGTATGTTAAACCATCTAATTACACAGAAGACAGTTTGATCAAACAATGTGACCATGTAAGGTCCATATAAGGCATCAACGCACATGTGCGATTCTGACGGTGCGAATCTGTTCCGAAAAAATACAACAATGCCGACGTCATATTCAAATATGCAGGCATTTAGGCCAAAATACATACATATGTTAATCGTAAATCCTGTTTTGTTTATATAACTTGTGTTTGTTTTTGAACTTTCTAAAAAGAGAAGTATTTTGGCTAAGCATTTACTTGATTTTGAATGATTATAACTTTTATAAGATAATATTTATTTCACTATGATCTTAAATGAGATAAATGTACCCACTTTTTTCTTCTTTGTTAAACATGGTAATACCTACCGTGTTTGTTTACAATGTGACAATATCAAATGTAAAGGCAACACATCTCATTTGACAGACACTTGACCCTTAACCTTGCGCGTTATTTTTTTGTTTTTCGAACCGTTGAATCGAACCGAAACGCCGGTTCAAAGACCAAAAAAACCGCTTTGACGAACCAATCCAAAAGTGCAAAACCGGTTCGAGCCGCCGAACCGAACCGACCAAATTTTTCATCCGGTTCACGTCCTTGGTAAAAACGTTATCAATTAATGGAGCATGTACATACATATGCGTGGGAAATGCATTTTCATTTGACTCCAAAAATATTGGGGCATATTCGTAGACCAAATAAAGTTGACTCTAAGTTAAAGTTTATCAGCCCCAAATAAGAAGAAGGTTAGTTGCATCTTTTTTCACAGGTGCCTATTCCACTGAAAGTGATGTAAAAAAGCTGTAACTAACTTTAGAGTCGGCTTTATTTTAACTATGAATATGCCCAATTATTTACTAAAGGCCTGCAATTGTTGAACTATAAAACATAGCGACATGTGTCAGATCATGCAAGTGCCAGTTCATATTAGGTGCAATCCTGTATTCCTCGGACTAAAACTAGTAAAACTGTCAAAAAATAAAAATTCGCTCAGTGCGGGAGAGTAACTTTGAAAAGTACGGGATCGCTTTCTAGTAAAAAATGTAACTTCTGTCAACTTCAACATAACCTCCAAATTTTGTTTGTAAATTTTTGCTATTTTGTATGTAAACACACTCAGCTCACACATGTAAATAACCAAAAATACTTTCAAATTCATTAGAATCCACATAAACAAGTAATTAAATACTTTTCAACATGCATTAGCAGAGTGCACTTTTCTTTTGTTAAAAATTTGGTTGCCAAACACACTACAGCTGATCGTTTGACACATTTACCAGAATTTACCAGCAAAAAATTCTCGGACTAAAACTGGTAACTTCTGGCTGAGAGAGGACCTCATTTACTCTCTATTTTGTCCTCTCAATAGTCAGAGAACCGAGTACGGAATCGATTTCCAGTAAAATCTGACTGATTCTGACTAGTCCGGACTCGTACGGGATCGCAACTATTATGTCGCTCATTCATGATTCACAATAACATATGAAGACACTGTCGAATAATTGAAATCAAATCATGCATCAAATCTATGCATGTCACCACAAGCAACACATGCGACATAGACAGCATTATTAATTATATTTTATATACGGGAAGAGATTTTGTAAATTTTTTAAGCACCTATTACAGTAAAATGCATTAAAGAATTGTCTAATTAAAAACCTGTATATATTTTCATACAAGGCAGGATCAAACAGTATTAAAAATATGCTACAGAAGCACAACAGCTTAGCTAAGTAGCAACGACATGCTAAAACAGTATGTTCGAGATGGAATGACATGGCATAACACCTTGTTTGAGTTGACATGACATAGCAATGCATGAAATTTTTGAAAGACATTTTTACAGAAAATGTTGGATTTTGCAGTTCTTTATTATTTACATATACATAATACGAGTATAGCAGTGAAAAATTATCAAGGAACATATTTTCTCAATATAAATAACTTTTCGACAAAAACAACTTTGAAGTTAACACGTGCAGTGCAATCAATGCATTTGTACGTTTTTTGTTAATGTATCCATCTTTGAAGTGGATTTGTGAGAAAACTAAAGCAGCATTGAAAATAGCGTACCTATCAACTACCACTAGAATCGTTAAAAATAAAAAAAAACAATTTTCTTCGCTTTTAATGCCGACATCAAACCACCAAACAGTGCGCATTTGCGTTTTTTGGTCAATGTGTCCATCTTTAAAGTGAATTTGGGGAAAAACTAAGGCAGCTAGAAACTGCGGTTTGTTGCATTGGAAATAGCGTAGCATCTACCATATGAATCGGTAGAAAAGTAAAACTCGATTTTTTCAACTCAAATGCCGACGGCAAATCACCTACGAATTTGCCAATTGCGTACATATTTGCATAACTTTCACATTTTAGATTCACAAAATTGCATGCATGTACACAATATGTACGTATTACATAAAGTAATAGACGGAGAGCTCATGACCAAAAAACTCATCACACTTCAGATCGATTGAAATTTTTTGTGAGCTTAGCTTGTTAATATATAAATCGAGATCCGGAGGGCTGACTGCTGAACAGCGGTCTTGATTATGCGTTTTTGGCGATTAAAGATGTTTATGAAAACCGATTATTCAACATACTTTAGATGACTAGAAATTTAGAAAGAATTTTATATACAGTGTAAAGAAAATGAACTCAAGGTTGCCTGCCACTTCTGATGGTCTTAAAGTACTGCCAACCCATGATGAAAGTGCATTGTTGCACCTATAAGTCAACATACTTCAGATGACTTGAAATTTTTATAAAATTTTATTTACAGTGTATATAAAATGAATTCAAGGTTGCCTGCCAATACTGATGGTCTTAAATTACAAACAGCCCATGTTGAAAGTGCATTTTTGCACCTATAAGTCAACATACTTCAGAGGACTTGAAATTTTGATAGAATTTTGTTTACAGTGCATATAAAATGAATTCAACGTTGCCTGCCAATTCTGAGGGTCTTAAAGTACAAACAGCCCATGCTGAAAGTGCATTGTTGCAAGCATAACTAAACATACTTCAGATGGGCTGCCCTTTTCAGAGCACATTAGTAATAATATAAATAGATGAAATATCTACAGCCAGCCCATTCTGATACTCACATGATATGAAAAATGTCAAAAACGTCATTTGCAGGAGTGTGGGCGCGTGGGGGAAAATGTATATCGTTCATATGCTCAGAGTTGCCAGATGTGGGGATTTCGCCCCATTTTGGGGATTTATGAAACCATTTGGGGATAGGTTTTTTCGTTTGGTGATGTGGGGATTTTTATTTGGTTTAAAACATTCATATTGAAATTAAAACATATATTTTACTGGCTGCCCGTTAAAATTTCTCGAATCAAGATTTTATTAGTGCATACTTTTTGCGCGATATGTTTGCAAGGTTTTTCTAACGCCGTCAAAGCATTATTCGGCGCAGATTGGCTTTCACTGAACAAACAATTTTCTCTCACTTAATTACAAGAAATTGTAAAACGGCTGCTGTCATTGACATTCACTGAACGTACTACATGCATATATACTTGTCATTTCTTTGCGCCAACACTGTCGGTTCTTTATTAAGCGTACAAAGAAATTTAGAAAATGGCAAGCGGAGCAAAAAAAAGCAGATTAATTGAACGAATATATAGACAGCAGTGGGAAAAGGAACCTTGGGCCGAAGGTATGTTATTAAGCAGTTTTCAAAATCCATAAAAAACAAGAAATTTTTAAGGTTGGCTAACGAGCATAGGTAATGCACCAACGGCTTACCAAAGCCCTAATGGCGCGTGGTGTAAGCTATGTCGAATTAATTTGGCCCCTCACAAAAAGGATTTAAAACGACATTCGGAGACTGAAAAACACAAAGGAAAAATTAAAACCCCCACTCAAAATACCTTGACTAATTATGGTAAGCAGTATTATGACACTTTTGTAAATATTTTTATGCAGTATTTTTAATATAAAGGTTATGTTGATGCCGTAGCAACGCAAAAATCAAAAATCTTAGATATTAAATTAGCTGTGTTTATTGCTAAGCATGCAGCGGTAACAGCAATTGATCATCTATCCGAGCTACTGAAATCGATTGACCAAAACAAAGTCTTGTTCGAGAACCTGAAACTTCATCGTACAAAATGTTCAGGCATAATTAAATATGTCGTAACACCATGCATATTGAAAGATTTGGTGGAGGCTGTTGGAAACAGCAAGTTTTCGTTAATTGTAGACGAATCTACCGATATTTCCCAAACACAGTGGATGTGCGTCTGTATTCGCTATTTTAACATAGTACTGAATCAGATTGTTACCGATTATTTGGGAATATTCCTGGTCGAAGAGGCCAGTGCAGAAATCCTCCACGCATCTCTTATTAAATTTCTAACAAAAGCTGAAATAATAACATCAAATTTGATAGCTATTGGAACTGACGGAGCTAATAATCTTTGTGGGGCCAAAAAATCAGTATTTGCCTTGTTGAAAAAAACGTATCCAAAGTTACAGCTTATGAAATGTACTTGCCATTCCTTGAATCTTAGTTGTTCGAAGGCATCGAAAAAAATTCCCAACACGGTCGAGTTTCTTATAAAAGAATTATACAATTACTTTAGTAACAGTCCTCTGCGTGCCATTAAATACAAACGTGCCTTTGATTTAATAAATTGTGGTGTCGACGCAATTCGATTTCGTAAATTAGGGATGTTATCAGGAACGCGATGGCTTTCTTACGGTCAGGCTGTTAAGAGGGTTTTAGAGCAGTGGATAGAATTAAAATTTCATTTTTCTATGATTTCCACTAATGAAGATGAACTTACCGCAAAACTTATTCACAAAGAATTTTCGGACGAGAAAAATCGTTTATTTTTATTGTTTTTAAAACCATTTCTTGATGAAATGAACAGGCTAAATTTGACATTTCAAAGTGACAAAGTGGACGTAGGAAGTGCATATTCTGATATTGAGTTAACTTTTCTGTCATTTTCTAGAAAAATTTTAAAACCAGAATTTTTGGTAAAATCTAAACTAAGCCCTACTTTGTTGTGTCAAGTTAAGAAAGCGTTGGATAATGATTTGTCATTTTTACCGCTTGATTGTATAGATTTTGGTGTTGAGTTCACGAACGAGTATAGAAGAGTACAAAAGTCTTCTGAAAATGAATATATTCTAAAAGATTCGTGCTTTAATTACATTCGAGAGTTATTAGCAGAAATGTCTAAACGATTGCCCGAAAACATGTCGAGATTTTCTAAGTTTCGTCTATTTCAGTTTACCCAATGTACTAACGCTGTAAGTCAAGAAAAATTTGTTATAATTAAAGACATTTTATACGACTTTTTTGACCCGAATGTATCACTAAACACTTACGAAAATCAGTAGATCAAGTTGGCGTTCATAAACTGGAACGAACATTTTAACAACAATATACCAAAGAATGTTATTGATTTTTGGATGGAAGTTTTTAAATTTGAGGATGCATCTGGAAATAAATTTTTTGAAGATATCGCGCAAGCTATTATAAACATTCTAATAATTCCAACAAGTAATGCATGCGTTGAAAGCGTATTTTCTGTTATGAATGCCACAAAAACAAAATTAAGAAACAATATAAAAATGGAATTGTTAGAAGCGTTAATGCGCATTGATATTCACTTTAAAGTTTTTGATATTTGTTGCCAAAACGTTCAGCCAACCACTAAAATGATCACTCTTTTCAATAGTAAAAACATGTATTCAACCGAATTGGATGAAAAAGACGAATCAGAAGTTTTTGATTCCTTATAAACACATATTAATATACATATAATAATATAAAGAATTGTCTGAAGTTCCTTAACAAATACTTGCATATATACATACAGCACTGGTAAGGGATTCAGCACCAAAATTCAACGTTATATTTGTTACAACTTATGATTATTTATTTATTTCTTATAATTTTAATTAATTAAAATATAGTCCAATTTTTTCGAAAAAAATAGATTTTGATTATATTGAAGAAAATTCGCAACAACCTCCACAAAATAAATTCTAATAAATAAACGGTATTCTTTAGCTATTTGAAACTTGCATTTTATTACACTAAAAAAGTTTAATTACTTTTTGATATGAAACTTTTATTTATGCTTTTTCTGTTGTAGATTGAATTATATTTTAAAAGAAAATTAGTAAAAATAAATAAATAAACATATGTTGTAAAACATATAACTTTGAATTTCGGTGCTAAATCTTTGACCATAGGTGTACGTATAACCAAATGATCTCATGCATATACGTACATACATATACAATCTGTGAAAATGTGTAGAGAAAAGTATTCAAAACTGTAATAAAATGAATACTGTGTTAAAATGAAAACTGTATAAAAATGAAAACTGGATTAAAATGAACTAACACAAATGTGAATATATGCTTTTTTTATTTCGTACTAAAGGGGATTTAAATGGGGATTTAAAAGAAAAATGGGGAGTTTTTGGGGATAACCGCGGTCCGATATGGGGATGGGGTACAAAAATATTCTGGCAACACTGCATATGCTGTCTTAACATAGTGTTGCTGAAATGAAAAGAATAAAATGAGGCTTCTGCATATGAAGACTGCAGCTACAGGGGTTTTCCTTGATTAAAAATTTAAATATGTTATTACACTTGGTCGCAAAAATATGTTTGCAACTATTCCCCCACCCCCGCCCCCTAGGTTGAAAGCTTATTTCGAGAGGATTTTATGGTCATAAAAACTTTCGTCCTTGGCGAGTCCCAAAAATGACCAAATCGATTTTCTTCATAACTCTTGTATTTATTACTAAATTCCAATCTGTGATACATGGTGAAACGCTAATTTCGATTACTGTGTATCTTTATCAGATCCTCTGACCCTAGAATGCCTCATTAGACTACCAAGTTCAAATAACTCAATTTATACCCAATTAAATACAACTTTACTTTTTATTAAATTAAACATTTTAGTTAGCGATTCATTTTTTGATAGTAAGCGTAAAAATAAATTAATAATTAGGAAGTATTACATTGACTTGAAACCGGAGAAAGTGTTGATGTTGATAGATAAACTCATACGCCATGGCAAGCGAGTAATTTAGGCTCGTAGGCAAGTAATCAAGGAGACTTGGGATCAGTGTGTAGTTTTATTTTATTTAAGTACACCATTACCACACTCGCATTTTAAAACTCAATGGAAAAAGACATGTACTTGATTATTGGCCTGTTAGCCTGTGTGCTTAAATTACTCGCTTGCCATGGTGTTATATTTTAAATGAAAACGCTTGCGACAACCCAACACTTCCCGGCACTTTTGTAAAGTATTTACAGTAAAAGAAACCACTTCATTGACTCTTCTTTTATCATTGGCGCGTTTATAAGACGTAGCTGTTTAGCTCAACTGCTACGAACTGTTGGCAACTGTTGGACCCAACAATTACGTCTTAGAAACGGCTTGATGAATATGCTGCCAAATGAACAGCTGATAAATGTAAACAAATGAAATTGCAATAAATAGAGATAGTTGCGCCGATAGTATTTAGAATTCAACGCTGAGTTGCCGCCGTGTTGAAAAAATCTTTCAAAACATATATTTATAAACGTGGTATTAGTATAAAATATTTTAGTTACTTTATAACATCAGCAATATACAAGTAATTTTTAGTGAAAAAAAACCGACTTACAAAAAAATATATATATCCATATATGTAGTCAAATAAACACTCCGCGGTTTATGGTTTTACAAAGTTAATATTTATTTGCGTTGTTTGTATAGATGTAATGTCTTAAATTATGGTTATTAGTATTCTCTTATTGATCTATCCGATTAGCGACGTTGCTGTTTGCGATTCAATTTTCAACTGTCGCTTTTCTTGCAACGCGTTCGTCAAGTTCGTCCAATTTGTCAGGGTCGTATATTGTCAGGGTTGCATTTGACAGTATGTCCTAAGTCCGTCGTCCACTCCGGTGTTCCCGTCCTACATTCGGCCCTCCTGACGCGCCATTCGGCTCGAATGATGGCTCGGGTTGAACCGAAGGCTCCCATTTTTTCATAAATTCAGCAACGGAAATTGTACGAGCCGGGTCCTTCGTGGTCGCCCACTTTCATTACCTTATACCTGCCATGTGGCAAAGCCGTAATAATCTTATATGGACCTAAAAATTTTGGCTTTAGCTTTAATCCCACCCCAAACTGTGTTCGCTTAATGGCTACTAACTCGTTTACTTGGTATCTAGTCTCATCTTTGCGATTTTTATTGAATGATCTACGATTTTCTTCTTGTATTTTGCTAATGTTTTGTTGTGCTTCTTTACGTACATTCTCTCGCTCTTCATCTAACTCTTCTATAGCTGCTTCTTTCAGCAATTCGCACAACCTACTGTCAGTACTTACTCGCATATCAATTCCGGTCAATAATCTGAAGGGTGTAAACTTGGTACTTCTTGGTGGAGTGTTATTTAATGTCTGCTGAACACGCTCGATATGCTTGTACCAACGGCCAGGACTTTCTGAACAAAGCTTTGACAACATAGGAATGATGATTCTGTGGATGCGTTCCACCTGACCGTTCCCACGGGGAACACCAGTGGCAATCACAAGATGTTCAATCCCTTCTGCCTCGTAATAATCTTTAAAAGACTTCGACATAAATGCTGCACCTCGATCGGATATAATGCGCTTCGGATTTCCAAACACGGAAGCCTGCCTTTAAGTCGGTCTATAACCACGTCTGCTGCAGTAGTTCCGGTCGGGTAGAGCCAAGTGAACTTTGAAAACGCGTTATCAACGACAAATATGTAACTATATGACTTAGCGGTCTGCTCCAATGGGACAATATGGTCGACAGGGTAGGTTGCCAAAGGTCTGTCCTGTTTGTCTATCGGGGTAAGGAACCCTTCTTTTTTACCTGACTTGCTTTCACCAACAATACACTCTACACAGCTTTTTACTACCCTAGTGACTTTAGAGATTATCTGAGGAATAAAGTACGATTTTTCTACTGCGTCTTTCGTTTTATTGATAGAAAAATGACCTTGCCTATGCGCCATCTTAATTATTTCATCCTCCATAGCCGATGGGACAACTATAAGTTCCTTAATGGGATCTTTGTGGAGGATTCCATGGTTAAGATACAAATTTTCATAACTGTCCTTTTCTAACACCGTACAAACTGCTTTTATCCAATGGTCACTCTGTTGTGCTTGCTTCAACCTGTGTATCAACGTATCTTCAAGCATCAAACACGATACCCTGCTCAGCGCATCGACATGCCTCATTTCCGACCCAGCTCGGTGTTCCATCTCATAATTGTAATGGCTGACTTCCAAAACGCCAATTGCTTTGCATACGTACAAAGTATAATGTTCCATAACGCCGAACTACACAATATTGGCAATGTATACTTTTCCAAAACGCATATGAAAAGTTGTCGAAACGCAGCGCTAGAGCAATCAGCGCATCAGAAACAAAGTTGATGCTTCGTTTGTTATTGGTTACCATTGGTGTTTTAGAAATAGAAAGTTCAGAGAAATTGTTCATTGCTATATTGAATATTTAAAATATGCAATGTGTATGGTTGCAATGTGTCGCAACTCTGCATATACAAACAGTTTGAATACCGCAGAATAACAGTATCCAAACATTGTATTGATACGTTTTGGAAGTCAGCCAATCTTGTAATAACAAAGCCCAACGAGACACTCCTAATGGAATATCACGTTTCTCCATTGTCATCGTGAAGGCATTGCAATCTGTCACGATTTTAAACCTAATACCCAGCAGATAAACGCGCCACTTTTTAAGTGCCTCCACGATTGCCAACACCTCATGCTCATATGAGTGGTATTTTTCTTCAGCCGGCTTGCACCGACGACTCATATATTGCACAGGATGGAATGCCTGATCATTTGCATCTTTTTGCATCAAAACAGCTCCATATCCTAACATACAAGCATCCACGTGCACTTCGGTAATTGCTTTAGGGTTGTACAATTTCAAGACAGGGGCTTTCGTCAGGGCGAGCTTCAACTGTTGGAAAGGAACCACCTCTTCGTTTCCCAACTCGAATTTTGAATCTTTCCTCAAAAGGTCACTAAGTGGTTTCGCTACCACGGCATAACCCTCTATAAACCTTCGAAAATAGGAAGTTAAACCGAGAAAACGCTCTAAAGATTTCTTGTCATGGGGTAAAGGGAAATTCTCAACCGCTTTTGTCTTTGTTCCCGAAGGCGCTATGGTACCGTTTTCTACAATATACCCCAAAAAATCCACCCTGGGTACGAGAATCCTACACTTGTTCCATTTTATTTTCAGATTGTATTCCGACGCTCTATTAAGAACTCGTTCTAGTTTATGGATACCCTCATTCAAATCCTTGGAGGGAATAATGAGGTCATCCATGTAGGCTATAACTGTTCCGTTTTGTATTAAGTCCCTTAATACAGCAAAAACGAATCGAGAAAATACAGTCGGTGAATTTGAGATTCCAAAGGGAACATATCGGAATTCAAACTGGTCGTTGTGCGTCTCAAAAGCAGTATATTTCATTGAACTACTCTCAACGGGAACATGGAAAAATCCATTAGCCAAATCAAGCGTCGTAAAAATATTAGCTCCCTGCAATCTTTCGATAACATCGTCTAACAATGGCATTGGAGAATTATCTCGCACGATCTTAGCATTTAGCCGCCTGTAGTCGCAACACAGCCGCTTACTACTGTCTTTCCTAGAAACAAGCACGATAGCTGATGCATACTCTGATTGACTGCGCTGAACGATTCCGTCCTCTAACCATTTTACTACCTGATCATCTACCACCTTCTTGTCTGCATACGACATACGTCTTGGCCTTTCGTAAATTGGAATATCATCCGTCAATAAAATTTTCATTGCTATTGGAGATTCCGTTGTCTTCTTTGGCTCATAATGGATAGTTAACCCTTTGACCCTCTTAAAATCGTCTACGTGCAAATGTGACAAGTCAACTTCTGCATCGCTATCTTCACATCCTTCCGCTATACAACACATATCTTTGAATTCTTCCAGCACATCTAACTTCTCCTGCTTTTTCGCTGCATTAACTAATTCCCTATTACTTATGTCAGGATTTTTAAACGTATTACTACTTTGCGTTTCGTTGTCTACCTCACTATTAACCGTCTTTGCCTTGAATTCTGCCAAGTCTTCCGATACAATCAGATCTACATATTTAAGTATACTATTACCGACTATTGCCGAGTAATGCATATCACGTTCACGCACAGCGTGGAAAGTAACTCCAAGTTGCAAGTCATCTACGTAGACTGGAATTGTAAAACTACCTAAAGTATCGAGGACACTACCGCTTATGCCTCTTAGCTGACGCCTATCATTATTTAATTCAACATCTTCTCCCAACATGAGCAAGATATCATAGCGTATTAAACAAAGGTCACAACCGGTATCGATTAATGCCGAAAAGGTTACGCCTTTACGTGTCAAGTCCTTGAAAATACACCTACCAATTTCATTAAGTTTCGGGACTACCTGATCTTCCAACGTGTTTACACTACCTTTCTCAGCTTTTATTGAAGCTTGTGTATCGCGACAATTGGCCGCACGATGACCTGGTTGCCCACACTTAAAGCACTTAGATTGTACCTGCTTACAATCTTTGGCTATATGAGAACTTTCACCACACCTAAAACACTTAGGTTGCGCCTGCTTACAGTCTTTTGCTATATGAGAATCCTCACCACACTTAAAGCATCGCTTTACTTTTTCCTTATTAGCCTCTCGATTAGTATTCTCGACTTTGAAAGTCGTTTGATTTAAGTTTGAACTGGTCACTTGTTGGCGACCAGATCGCACTTTTTCGTACACAAGTATCTGTTGTTTTAGCTCTGATATTGTTTTTGCCTGATATAGATTAATTTTACTTTGTCGCGAATCAGGGATACCTTCTAAAAAATATTCAATTAAACTCATATCGTCAAGTTTAATTGGTTTACCCAACTCCATGAGACTATAAAGATACTCCTTAAAATCTTCATTTTGACGTTGTCGTCGATTCCGTAGCATTCGATGCACCTCGACAGATGACACTGTAATAGCAAACTCGGATCTCAGTGCCTGCGCTAACATATCAAAACTACTAATTCCTCGCTGACTTTTTATAAATAGCTTGGCCGCACCCTTAATCAACTGTTTTGCGTATATGAATTTTTGCAATGCATTCCAATGAACTGCCTCCGCATTTTCATTAAATTCATCTAACCAATCCTCGACCGACAACGAACTCGAACCGCTAAAAGACGTTAATGAGTCTGCAATATCGCGCAAAGTAAATGGCGTACGACTAACTGTTTGGTATCGCACTTCACTTGGTGGTGATGTACCAACGTCGCCATATGTGGAGCCCTCGTCACCGTCGTCATCATTGTCGCTCTCAACGGTTAGGCCGTAATGCTCAAGGAGCCTGTCCTGTTAAGTCATCTTGCGTCCTGTAGTCGGCAGTCCTAACTCAACCAACTTGGTCTTCAATTCATCTACTTTTAGCTTTAAATTTCGTTTCTGTCCATCCTGAATCGCCACACAACAATTACTATTAAAAATTTTAAAATGCGAAATTATTTGCAAGTTATGCAAATGTATATGTATAATGCCAATAGTTACAGAAAATCTCTTACAAAAATTATCTATCTTTAGCACATCAAAGTATTTTAATTAATGCAAATATTTTCCCTATCTCATGCCATACAAAGTTTGCAGTATTTTCAAAAATTCACCTAAGCTATGAAAGCTTTACATACTGTTTGCAAATTTCACCACGAACTTCGCTTCTTCTGTTTTGTTTACAATTTAAAACCAATCAGAACAAATTTTAAAATCTGATGAATGTCATGCAAAAAGGTGAAAGATAAACGTTACAATTCGAAGTTTTGGATTTATATTCTTTTTACTCTTTCTAGTATTCTATTCTACTAATCTACTTGTACTCAGCTGCTACTTTTTCAAATACAGTTTCGCTGTTCCAATAAGAATTTCTTGGTTTTCGGTTTCACTTCTGCCAATCCATGGCAGCGGCAATCGCGGCGCCAACAACAATTCCAACCACAAGTTCGATGTTTCGTTCAACTCGGTTCGGCCAATAAGTCAATTTCGCTGTTTCGCTGCCACTTCCACGACAACTGCAATCGTAACACCAACAAGAATAGCTTGTCGCCGAATTTTGAATCAACGGCTAATTGTGTCTGCCACACAAAATGTAATTCGTAGAGCAGACACTATTCAGCTGCTACAACGCCAGGATTTCGCCAACAACAATTGCTTTGTGCTTATTAGCCTCTGCCACACATAAAGCGAATTTGTACACTTGTACTCTTCGGCCAGCGCAAATAAAAACTTCTTTGCGTTCTTCGGCAACTGCCACACAAAAT